CTGGGGAAAGGCGACCGTGGTGGCCGGCGCCTGCTCCGACGATGCTGCCCCTCTTTTATGAAGTGCTAAATGCTTGGCTGCTCTCTTGTACGGGTCTGCCACGTGCCCCGCAGAGCCGGTTATGTCACTGCCGGGCTCCTCATCCTCCAAACACCCTCTTGGAATTAAAAAAAACCATTTATATGGTAGAGACGGGGCAGTCCTGCAGGCATCCCTTGCCCAGGGAACGGGCTGCAGCTCAAGGGGCTCACCAGGGTCATGTCCGCCAGCAAGTGCCACTGATAAAGGTCCCCACGAGTGAGTCAAACTGCTTGACATGATGATGTGAAGTTGATGTAAAGCCCTCGGGCTCAGGTTATCTCCTCCTAACAGCTTTGCACCTGCCACTGGCTCCTCTGCAAACCCTCAGGGACGAATCCTGCCTCTTCCTAACTGCTTTAGTGCTTTCGCCTAACACAGGGACCAAGCTGGCGCTCTGATTTCTTTCCTTCTTGAGTATTTTGGGGGTTTGATTGACCCTGGGGAGCACAAGGGCTGTGCCAAGGGTGAACCTCGAGGCTGCGGGTCCTGCTTTCCTTACTGCAGATTTTTTATAGATGCTAAAACCGTGGGGACAGCAAATCCCCAGGGCTGAGACCCCGGGAGAGCTGAAATCAGGGTGAGGACGTGTTATAAGGCTCCTGTCCCCAAAGAAAGCACTATAAAGAAAGAAGAGCATTGTGGTGGGCTTCAAAAAGGCTAGAAATCAACCCAAAGTGAGCAAGGGTGCCGGCAACGGATGCAGGGAATGCACCGTGGCGCAGCCTCTCTGGGGAGGGGGGATTTGGGGAAGGAAAATCCCGGCAGGGTTGGCTCTGCTCTTTGCTGACATTCTTTCCACTGACCGATCCCTCGGCTGGAATCTGGCCCGGAGCAGGAATAGGAGGAGATGGGAGATGGTTTCTGACGTTCCTGATGGAAAAAAAGCCCTTCTGAATTAAAGACAAAGCAGGAGAGATGCGGTTGAGCAGTTGGAGTCAGTAGGGAAGGGCTGGGGATGGGTTAAAAAATCCCACCCACGTTGCTGCTCATGCAGGGTTTGTGATTGTGCCTCAGTTTCCCCATTGGGAAGGTGGGAGTGATGCGTCTTTGCTGGGAGAGGGGTGCAGCAGGATGGCGTTGGGGCTTTGGTTATCTGCACATACAAATGCCGGTACTGGAGACCAGCTCGGATGACCAGAGCCGGGGTGGGAGGGGATCCTGCCCAGCTTGGCTCCTCTGCCGGGGCCTGGGGACCCACGGGAGAAGGTGTCCTTTGGATTTGGTGCATGGGAGAAGCCACGAACGTGGATTTTATGCCAAAAATGCCACTCTGGGATGAGGGACTTGGCCAGGCACCTTCAGGAAGCCCATGGTGGAGGAAAGGCTGTGCCTGGTGCAGTCCTGCCTGCTCCTGCCTGCATGCCTGCTCCATTCCTGCAGGGCAGGCAGGAGGGACGGGCAGCAGAGAACAGGGGCTGGCACCGGGACGGGTGATGCATGGCCAGGGGTGCCCACGGGGGCAGGGCTGGACCCCGGGGTGCTCCCCACATCGGGATGTCCCTCCTGGGGCTGGATTCCTCCGCTTCCCCGTGGCTTCAGCAGAAGCAGGATCAGGCCCTTACGCTGCGACATGCACTGGCAGGATGGGGACATGGGAAATATGGGGGGCAAGCGGGAGCAGTGTGGGGCAGAGCAGGGTGGGGAGGTGGGAAAGGCCGAACGGCGGAGGATGCTGTGCCAGTGTCGGGTCCGACCACAGGAAAGGCATGGATCCAGGGTGCCGTGGGATCGAGGGGGACAGCCACGAAGGGATGAGGGGGGCCTGGCTG